CACACACTCTCACTCAATTCAATTCAAGGTGCTTTATTAGCATGACTGATGGATGCAATCAGTGTTGCCAAAGCAAATGAAAGTAATATTTACATTAAACAAAACAAAAAATAAAGTAAAATCTACAGACATATTACAGACATTTACAACAAAGACATATTATAAAATATTGACATATACTGTAGAAAGAAGGAGCATTATTGGGAGACAGGCTCACTGTTCCTCAGGCTGTGACAGGAGATCACATACTGGGCTGCCAGTTCAACTGAGTTCCCTCCTCCCTCTCCCAGTAGGATTGGGAGCTGCTGTGATTCTGGCAGGTGTGGGAACTCTGGGATTAGATTTCTGAATTTCGGGAAGAATGTTTCTCTCTCAGAGAAACACTCACTCTCTCACCCCCTGTCTTCCCCCGGCCTGGTTGTGACCTGCAGTGCACCCCTGTCTCTCCAGCACTGCAGCAAGCCTGTGGGTGACAGTGTGCTGCAGGGGCTCTAGTGAGGTCCAGAGAGCAGCTCGTTAGCCTCCTCTCCTTTCTGCCCTCTTACCTGAGTCACAGCCGCCAGGTAGTTTAAACGGGTTGATTGAGTACATGACAAGGAAGAAAGTCTTTACAGAAGGGCACAGACGAGCAGGAGCCAGTGAGAGAGGTTGAACTGGAGTGCAGTGGTAAAGGGCTTAGTGGCTGTGATTCTGATGAAGAGCTGGACAGGGTGAAGTAAAGAGGTGAAAGAGAGAAGTGGCTCTAAAGGAACAGCAGCTGAGGAAGGAATGTTCTGTATGGATCACTGTCAGCAAGGAAGAGGTGAAGTGTCTGAAGCACAAGCACAAGCAGCATTAAAATAAATAAAGAGTAAATAACCCCTGCGCTGGGTGGGGTTCTATCTGCTGTACACAAGGGAACGAGAGACCTATTCATAAACCATAATAAGAACCCCTCCAGTTGTACCCAGGGGATTTCTGAGCCAAGATGTTGCAGAGCAGTCTGGTACAGACCAGTATCTCTTATAGACTGGTGTGTGTTTTAATACCAGTGTCTCTTATAGACTTCTGTGTGTTTTAATACCAGTGTGTGTTTTAGGCCGGTGTCACAGACCAGTTTGTCTGTAACGTACAGTTAGGGACACTTTTCTTAGAACTAAACTAGAGGACCGGATCACCTCTGTGACAGTAAGATCCCAGGGAATAGCCAACAGGGATTCTGGAGGGGTGGTCTCTCCGAACCACCCTGGAGCTGGAGCTCTGAACAAGCACCAACAGCAATGACTTGCATTGCAGACAGAGCATAAGAAATGGTGCATTTTGATTTTCAGAAGGCTTCTGATGATCGTTCCTCATGAGGACAGTCTATAGGCATGGAGGGAAATGTGTGTTTGGTTCAAGAACCGCATCGGAAGAAGGCTGGGCAGCTCAGGCCTGCCTGTGCTGTGAATTTCACGCGGACTGTTCTCCTTCCCCTCCAGACCAGTCGGTATGAGGAGATCTTCCTGGTGCCCGCAGACCCTGCGGACGGCTGCTCCGAGCTGAGGAACGCTGACCTGATGGAGGGACAGGTCACCCTGCTGGAGAGAGGGTACTGTCTGTGCCCGGTGTGCGTGTCCCAGTGCGCTGCCCAGGCTCGGGGCGTGTCCTGTTGCCGCGGGGACCAAGTGGGATGTGTTCTGAACCCCGTGTTGCCATAGCGATGTGTTTGAACTGTCTGGTTGCCACAGGGACTGAGAGGGATGTGCTGATGCAGTGCCTGTGTTTGGGCTGCAGGGGGTGCTCCTTCGTGTCGAAGGCCCGCCGGGTGGAGACCGCAGGGGGCCGGGCGGTGCTCATTGCTGACAGCGCCCTGGACAACGACAGCCTGTACCTGGACATGATCACTGATGGCACAGCGGAGCTGCCCAGCATACCGGCGCTCTTCATCCTGGGCAGAGACGGGTAAGGAAGGCACTGTACTCGCCAGGGGACTACCCCTCAAGGGTAGAGCAGTAGCTCGAACCCGCAACCCCCCAGCGCTTAGCAGAGAGGCCTGGCCTGCTGTTGGCCACGCAGGCCGAGAGCGGGGAGAGCTGACCTCTGGGAACAAATGGAGTGGCTCCTCGAAGCAGCGAGCTCGTCAGCCAGCCATGATCCTAGTTTTAGGGTCGTCTCGGCTTCTGAGAGCTTTCTGGAATAAGTGTTTTGGAATTCCTGTGGAAGGAAAGACACGGGAGGGTCAGTGGGATCATGGCCAGTTGAGGAGCTGTGGGCTCGGAGAGACCTGTGATCCTCACTGCTCTCGCGCTCCCTGATCATCTTGAAACCGTCTGCAGTTTCGTCCTGTGCTGGGCACCTTGACGTACTTGATCAACACCACTAGAGGGCAGTACAGGCATACAGTGACTTGTCCATGTTAAAGTCTAATTGGCGTCGTACACAAATACCTCACACCTGAAGAAGGCTTCATGGCCGAAATGTTTTCTTTCTTCTCTTTTCAGCGGGGAATAAACCTTGTTCCTTTGCACACTAATACCTTGTTCTGTTGCAGTATCACTTAAATACATAGAAGATAAGAAAGATTACAAATGAGAGGAGGCCATTCGGCCCAGGAATGCAAGGTATCAGCTTCAACAACATGGCTGGGCATCTTGTTCCACACTCCCGCAACCCTTTGGGTAAAGAAGTGGCCCCTGGTCTGTTTTAAATCCACTTCAACACGGTTTTCACTTGTGCCCTCTGGTTTGTGATTGACTGATTATTCTGAAGAATTTCGCTCTGTTGACTGTCAGCGTCTTTGAAGATTATGAATACTTGTTTCAGGTCCCCTTCAGATTCAGTTCCTCCAGGCTGTCAGTGTAGGACACCCCTTGATGTCCCAGAATGCATCTGGTTGCTCTTTGGACTGATTCCAGAGTAGTAATATCTTTGTAACATGGTGACCAGAATTGCATGCAGTATTCTGACTCTAATAAGGCCTTACTAGTGCATTGTACAATCCCAACATAAAATCCCCTGATTTGAATTCTACATTCTTAGCTCTACAGACTTAAGTTTTCCTTGCTTTTTCATTTCTTTCCTTCATTGTCTGGAAGTTGTAAATGATACATCAACATAAACATCCAACACTTTTCACAAGTAGACTCTTGGGATCAGTGTTTCCCATTTTGTATATTTATAGTTTACATTTTAAACACCCTGAATGTGTCTATAGTAAACTTGATCTGCCAGGTGTTTGTCCAGTCTTGAATTTCATCTAAATCTTTTTAAATTACATTTGCAGCTTCTGCAGTGCTTTCTAATCCACTTAATTTTGTACCATCTGCAAACATGACAGGTTTATTGACAACACCAGAATCAGGATGATTGCTATAAATTAGAGCTGTGGTTCCAGTACAGACTCCTGTGGTACTCCACTAATTACATCACTGATATAATTAACGAGCAGTGGTTCTAGTACAGACCCCAGTGGTACTCCACTAACTCAATTTGACCCCTTAACCCAACATTATTATTTTGATTGTCTGATACAGATGTGAGTCAGTTTGTAAGAAAGTTTCGATTTGTACAGCTGGGCATTTTACTGGAGCCACCTGAGTGAAGTATCATGCTTGAGAGCACAACAGCAGTGACCCAGCCAGGATCCGAGCACACAGCCTTGAGTCCCGAGTGCAGAGCCCTAACCGCTCCACCAGGCCTCTGGCACTTGCTCTTGCCGTGGGCTTGTTGTGATTTGTTCTCGACCAGCACCGTTTCCATGTCCTGCACCAGTTACTCAGCTCCTCCGCCTGCTCTCCTCTGTCCCTCAGGCTGATGATCCGCCGCGCTCTGCAGAGACACTCCCTGCCCTGGGCGGTGATTTCCATCCCTGTCAACGTGTCTTCGCTGGCCTCCTTCCCCCTGCAGCAGCCTCCCTGGACACTGTGGTAGCATCACACCCAGGGGGACAGAGATCCAAGGTGCTCAGAGACGCACACGCTCGTGTAGGGGCGTCAGACGGTAGGGGAGACCGAGGTCCACAGTGGAGAAACCTCTGCAGGGAAGTGCTCGATATCGGCTGCATCGCTCTGACCTCTGACCCGGAGGGACCCTGACCACAGCAGAGCTGGAGCTGCCCGTGTTGCCGGCCTGCCTCTGCAGAAACCACTGGAGCTAGAGGTACCAGTAACACAGGACTGAGCTCGGAGCTGGGAATCCTGTCCATCAGCTCCTGTTTTTTGTGATTTGTACATTTTTTGACACTTTTGTTGTAAGAAGCCAGTTAATAAAAACCAAGATTATGGTTATGAATTCAGCGTGGGGTTAATGAGGTCGTGAATGCTGCGGGCTGTGTGGTCAAGGGGCTTGAGTGGGCACTGCTGCTGGGTGGCCTTTCCTGACAGATGACCGATCTCACACAATGAGCAAGGCCAGGTCTGGTCTGGGTCAGATCTAGTAGGGGTCATGTGTGTGTCTCCCAGGTGGGGCTGCTGGTGCAGAATG